TCTGTGCTGCGCATTTTAAGAAAAACAGCTTCCAGAATCTCCACGACTTCAATGCCTGATTCAACAAGAAACTGTTACTAAAACATGACGCAGTTCCAACTTTAAAACCAGAGGCAGCAGGTGTTGGGCCACAACCTGTAAGTAGGCTAAGACTTAATCATTTTAAATATATTTGCATGTATAATTTCAGATGTAACGTTTTAGTTTTATCGAATGCAAGCGCTGGCTTTATAGCCACTAGGCTACTAGTTATGCTATTTTGTGTCTATGACAAACGCGTACAAACATTTTGGACCTGAATATTGTATATGTACTGATGTTGTAAATGTATTTTTCATGTATATGGTGTTATTTTTCGATTTGATCAAGAACGTAAACCAGTGCCAACACTGTTTGTGTATATAGTAGCCAGTTAGTTCGATTCTATTTTGTGTAAGACAAATATAAAGTTAAACAAATATAGGCAAATTACCATTCAGAAACGTTTTGTAAGAGCCGTGTGTTGAGGTTCTGCTTGCCTCTCTTCATCGCCGCTTTCTGGGTCTGATTCTGGCTCATACTGATACTGCAGTATCGACACCATTATTTACTATACATTTGACAGGAACAACACATGCAACTTCGCCCGTAAAGGTAATGGGTGTGAATTTTCCGGACAACGTGCACTACAGATTAGCAACTCACAACACACCGGCCCACACTAACCAATCTGAGCCCACTGCCTGTTTCTGAGGGAGTGGTTTCATAGACTCAGGAAGTCAACCGGTCGTTCAAATGACAGAGGAGAAAGCGGCTTACAATAAAGGTGACATTTATGAAAAATAAGACTTTTTTAGAAAGAAAACCACAAATACATGTTATATTCCACACCATAAACACAATCATGCAAAGAAAAAAAAAAACCGTAAACCACCCCTTTAAAGAAGATAATTCTGGCTCTAGGACCCGTTCCTTTCGCTGTCTCACTCTGACTAAATGAACGGGTCACTACACAAACCAGTTTTATCCTTTAGAGCGGGGTTTAGAAATATTTCCATTTCCCTTTGTAATTCTCTAAGTCTTTGTTAATCTCTAAGTCTTAGCTACACTGCAAGTCATGACTTCTCATTAAGATCTGTACAAATGACTGCATATTCACTTGATTGTTAAAATGTCCTGTTTCTATGGTATTTCAAATAGTATTAATTACTTTATGCTTGTCAAATTTCACATCAAAATTTAAATAAATATGCCATTTTGTCTAATAGGGAAAGTTTCTGTATGATTGCACATTGAACAGTCAGCCAAGCTGAGATAAAGGGAAAAGAATGGCAACCTACATTGTCTATGTTTTTAGCTCAAACAAATCACAGTAAAGGTCACAACAATGGTAAATTATATTCTGTATAATGTGTAAAAAGAAACATTTCTGATATGTTGTCTATAAAGGAGTACTTAAGGCTTACTGATGGGGCTCTGAGAGAATAAGACATAAAAAGTAGGGAAATACTGCCTTAGTCTACTACCAAGGGTCTAGTCTCCATACTTTTTTTACTAACACTCCCAAAGTGGTCCACACACTGGCTATAATAAGGTTCCTAGAAGAAGGCAGGTAAAAAGAAAAAAAGAAAAAAAAAGTTTAATCATTTTTGGTGATTTGGATTTTTCTGCTGTGACACATTCCAGTGCTTCTCCTTGCAGAGGAAATTGCAAAAGCGGTCTTGGATCTTAAAAAAAAGTGCCAAAAACCCCAGAAAATCTCAGTCCCCCAGCTGCTTCAGGCACACTGCTGGGCCACAGTCAGGGCTGAATTCCTCTGCTGAAGGGGACTGATATCCACAGCCAGTTTATAGACAGCGCAAAAAGAAGGAGACAGCTACAGCTACTCAAAATGAAAATGCAATCACTACAGAATAGAGAGAGATTTTTACAGATATCCTTTTTTTTTTTTTTTTTTTTTTTGCTCCTGTGTCTGTCCATGTGAGTGACTGGCTGACTGACTGAAGATAGAAACTTTTGCTTGGCTCTATACCGAGATTATCTTTAATGAAAACTATTACGTAAACCGGAATCAAAAGAAAACATTGGAGGGGGAGATTTATAGTCTTTTCTCACACCATTTGATATAATTAAACTTACTTAAATTTGATGGCGGGTCCAGAAAGGTTTAAACGGAAATCACCAGTGACAACAGATTCACCCGCTGTGAAATGCAAATGTCTTTGTTCGGACTTCAGAGTGGCTACAGAAAAAAAAATAAAAAAAATAACTGCAACCGGACCCATGCGAAAAACAAGGATAATATCGGAAGGGCATTAAATGTAGTCACGCAATGCTGACGTTGTTAACATTAACAGTTTGAGAACAAATAATTTGCACGGTTTTGCGTGATATGATAACTTATAAGCTCTTGTTAGATTTAATCAGTGTGATTTACTGCAATGTCAGAACCAGAACAAAAGTGGATGTTTCTTACTAGTTCAGATGACATTTTCTGGTGAAAATTCTTATGTTGGTCATACTTCCAAAAAGAATAATCTGTGATTTTGAATTCCAGTATCCACATCGGCGCGTGATTGAAAGCCGCACACTCTCTCTCTCCTCAAACATTGTGTTCATCCTCGCTGTGCCGTGTTGAGGGTGTTGAAGTACAACTCACGTAAAGTTGATAATTCATTTTCCTTCATGAACATTTGATACACTTCCCCAAATAACACTTTAAAGCCTTTCAAACATGTCATTCCTTTACTACATCATTGCAGAATTATTAAATTAAGTTCTTAGAAGTAACAACTGAAACAGCCCATTTGCAGAAGTTGCCTAATTCAAAGAATGGTTGAATTGCTGACCTCCCCAAAGACGTGAAGTCTTCTTGCTTATGTCATCACGTCTGACTCACCCTCCCCCAACACACACACACACACACACACACACAAAAGCTCCTCTAAAGTTGTTAAAGTGTTGAAAGGTGGTTGTGCTAAATCTGAAGTTAAAGGATGAGTCGATCTGGCAGGTGGATTGGCTATTAGAGGTGAAGACAAGAGGCAGAAGTGAGTAATCTGTTCCACCTGTGCTAACTTTCCAACCTGGGAAGTACACATGTACCACACACTCACACTGGAGAAGACATCCCTGGGGAATCCCTTGGTTATCACCAAAGAGCATAAATAAACAAGCATGGTTTAAAAGAGAAGGGGGGGCTCTTTTACTACTAGCTGAAGGTCCTTTATCATGGGTGGTTTGTTCTCGGACATTGATTACTAGCCATGAGACACGCTCATAGTGACTGAAATTGAAATATAATGCTTACTTAAACCAGAGAGTCTCAAGAGACTTGCAGTGTAGCGGCTAATTATAGAAAATAGACGTTCCCAAAGCAGTCAACATCCCAGTTAAAATGATGGAGTTTTTGTAAAGCCACATGACACAACTATTCGTCAGTCCCAATGAATGAGGTCAAGACTGCAGCTGAGCCTTTAAGACTACAAATCAGGGGGTCCCAGCAACTCACGTGTACTCACCAAGCACCCACATTTCCCAGGTGACCCTTCAGAAAGATAGTCTTTCTAGACAATAACTCTCTTTACATATAGAATCCGCATGCTTTACAATCAATTACTCATGATTTACAGGACAGCTTTGCCAAACATATGAGAGATGGCTATGACAGAAAAGTCCAAGGGAGAGAAATAAGGTCAGTATATTTGCCGAGCGCTGACTGATGCCCAATGAATTATTGATTCAACCATCCCATACATTCATATAGCGTACAGCCACATGTGCAATTATGGAACAATTATTCAATTTCGTGGCATAAGTGCAAGACAAATATCCCCCAAGTGGACTGAAAATAAACCATTAGAAATTCAGCAGCTTTTTATGTTGTTGCTGTTGTACTTACGATTGGCTTTTGCTTCTCTCTGTGAATTCCAGCTAAATTAATCTTAATAACCATCGAATTTCACAGCGACCCAAAGGAGAATAAGAGAGAGAGCGAGAGAGAGCAGTGAAAACAAAGCAAGTCTAATTTTAGGCACTCGTGATTAGTGTACCTTATAGCCCATGTTGCACATTACAAATCGCACATTTCAAGACCTTGTCAAGATATCCACATTGTTGCGCATAGCATATGGTAGCTATCATTTATACACTGCACATAGTAAAAAATTTCTGCTGCTCTATACAAAATGATAGAATGTTGTGTCTTAATAATGTGTGTGAGCCAAAGAATTAATCTCTTGTTTTCAGACAGGTCACATAGGAACTCCTGAGGTAAGAAGATATAATGAAATTAATTGCACCCATTGAGTATATTTATCATCATACACATGATCAAAGAAACACTTTCTCTCTTCTTTCTTTCTCAGTGGGGAGACAGAAGAATGAGAGATAGCGAGACTACTTCTTAATTTGCTGACCCAATGTCACCTGCTTCCACTTCTCGTGGCAATATAACTGTGCTCTCAAATTATTTCCATTATAAACCATAGATGTGTGAATGAAGTTAGTCTTAAAATGATGTCCTATGATAAATAGGCTACATGAAAATGGTAAATATTCCAGAGGAACTGGGTGCTTTTATTAATTTTTTGAATTTATATTGTAATAAATAAAAACAAAAACACAAATAAATAAACAGAGAACAGTAAGGTCAAATGTTGTTTAAATGTCACATCCCCCTAAATGGTAAAAATAGCTTTTAATGATCTGTCCAAGCTTAGGAGATATAAATACATTTTTGGATTTCATTTAAGTTCCATTCAAGTGTTTATGCAAGAAGCCCCTAATAAATGAATCAGGATTGTAAACTAAAGCTAATCTGGGCTAAGTACAAGCATAGTCACCAGTGCTAGTGATGTTGGCACTTGATATGTTGCATCTCAAAGCTCGAAGCAGTAGTACAACTACGTTTGAAAATAACTTCATCCGGGATTTAGGACAACAAATCATAACTAATAATAAATGATGCATCAAACTAATTTCTCCACATTCAAAATTTGAAAAGGATCTTTAGTGCTTACCATGGCATCTCCTTGATCTTGGTCATAATCATAGTAATCGTGACTTGACTCCAAAGCAAGGTTTGCGTAAAACAATGAGAGACAGTAGACAGAAATTCCAAATAAGAGCATTTTAGAAAAAAAAAAAATAAAAATCTCTGAAGTCTGAGCAGAGTCTGTTGAAAGTTCCTCTTTTGCAGGTTCCAGCAGCAGGTTTCTAGAAAATTCTGTCCTTAAACTAAAATAATACCCATGTATACGTCCAACATTTTAAGAAGACACTTTGACACTGGTCCATGGAATGCACTTTGAGCTCGTCCCTTCACAAGCGCATGTGAACATCCACTCCGTGCGGAGAGAGATCAGTGTGGAAGTGCGCTCAGCGCTCTATGGCATGTTTTATGCAATTTCACGCTGTTACTTTGACTCCTTCTCCTCCCCCTCTCCGTTTCCCCACAGACTGCCTCTTCGGTCGCTGTTAGACACATTCCGAGACATCAAGAGAGGAATATCAGTCATGGCACGCGCGCTTTTCTCAGGTGTCCACTACAGCACGACAAAGTCACTGTGGGCTATTCACGCACGAGCGCGCTGAATGAACCATGCATTTGCCGGGTTTATTTTTTTAGTAAGGTGAAAGGGCAGTGGTTCGTTCCAACATGAAAACTGTTTTTACTTACCGATTCATCTCATATATATATATTTTTTTTTTTTTGAAGAAGAAGAATATGCAAGTTGGCTTCTTATATAGCAAGACGCAAAAACATCCAAAAGTAGCCTATCATAAAAGTAGTGTGACTGCTTACTATTAGCTATATTAAGACAAACCCCGAATTAAAATGTTTTAATGGAGTAGCCATACAAATTTAGTAGGCTACCTACCACTGACAATAAAAAGTGTTTTTTTTCCTCAGCATGCTCAATTTCAAAAAGTGTAAAAATGTAACCTCCCCAAGTATAATAATAACAATAGTTATAATAACACCTTGATTGGGGCTGGGTAAATGCATGACTGTCAAAAAGTGGAACAATTTACCTAAATTCACCCTACTCAGTAATTTTCTTGGAGGGGTTTTATCCACAGGGGGTCTTAGTCCTCAAGTTCACTGAGTGCTCTTCTAATGCTGAGGAATGCAAGTCCCACTTGAATCATTGTGTTCCATTCACCGCTGTCAAATGGTTGCATTTAATTTTGTGATCTTCTCCAATACTACTTTAAGTAGCAGGCTAAACATGCACTGTCAAATGCATTCAGTGTTAAGACTAAAGGTCTAGTTTGAATAGGCTCAGGGGCTGAGGATTTGTGAATGATAATCTAATTATCCATGACACTATTGAATACTTCAATATGAAAATACCTGACAATTCACTTTTAAATTGCTGGCCAAATGCTTTCCAGGGCAATTGAGATAAAAGTTCTGCTTTTGTTTTCTATTAAATAAAAAGTATAACGATAAATGATTTTATATGGTGACAATACAAATATGGTAGTTCTTGTTGTTGTTGTTAAAGTCAAACAATTCCATAAGCAGAAGAAGTAGCCTATTTCCAAATCAATGCAAATTACTTGCAGAACTTATCACAAATTTGAAGCAAATTTGAAGCTTGTCAGTCAAATAGTATTTGGCAGTGGCCAGCAACTTTGCCAACTTATTTGACTTCTCTTTGCTTAGGAACAGTCTCATTCTGCTTCCCTGACTGCTTTGACTGGTCTAATTCTAAAAGGTCAAAGTTCAGAGTAGTTTTATAAGGATTAACATGAGTTATTTTTGCCTTGACGTTACTAAAAAGATTACTTCATGGGAGAAGTTATATAATGTCGTCAGCCAGGCGTCTGGAGCTGCTTAAATGTTTATCCACAACTGATATAATCTTATTTTGAAGTCCGCAGTGGGACTTTTGACATAGGTTTAGTCTCAAAAATGGTTTTAGAAGCTGACTATAATTTCCATGCTTTTGTTTTACATGACCATTTACATCCTTCTCCATTTTTCCTTCATCCAGCCCACACATACCAAATAATCTGTCCTTATTTAAACTCTCCACTTTGTGCTCCATAACTCCGTTTATAGCAGTTTTGCGTGTGATTTATATAATGCATTCATTGTAATAAATTACTGATTTTTATCAATTACAGCTGATCTGAGGGTTTTGTCTGACATTTTTCTGTTTTTTTTTTTCCAGTAATTTTTGAATGCACATTAAACTGATTAATTTAACATGGATGAAATAAAAGCCACAAAACTTTATCTTAATTTTCATTGTAATTTGTAGCTGTAGTGGTTGCCTTAAGAAGCACTTTTAGCACAGTTTGGTATTACACCTGGTCCAAATACGGGTCCACGGACTTCATTGCCACCAACTATGAGCACTCAGTCTGTGGCCTAAAAATGAAGGCTCCACCATAGGAATTTATGAGGGTCCTCATCATGGCACAGTGACCCAGCACTGTAACACTTTTGCTTGTCTGCTCATGTGTGCACAGCTTGTTCCCACACTGGGAATTTCTCTCCTCCCGGAACTTGGGAAACAATGGGTGTGGGAGTCCTGTGACGGGACCTGCTGCTTTGGGAAGCGCTGGACCCTGTTAATGCTGGAATTTGCGGTGTCCCTTACGTTTCAAAGAGCGGCTGTGTTGAGTAGGGTAGATCGATGAGGATAAGATGGTCACAGGGGGGTATGCCTAATCTTGCACTCTCCAGCATTCCTTGGCATCCTCAGTGGTTTGTTTGTAATAAATTATATTATTGAAGGCCTACAGATAGGAAAATACAATATCACTGAATTTTGTGTTTAATGTAAAGAATAAAATGATTGAAAAATCAAAATCTTCACATATGTATATAAATAATGAAGGACTATTTTTGAGCAGAAATTTCAACGTCAAAAACAACCCATCTAATTAAAACCAAATGGAGGGCCTGTGTTTCAGTAATTAAGAAGGGAAACGTGCTATGACTGAGATAAGGATTGGTTTTAAAGCACCTTTGTTTCGCAGTTGACAGCTGAGACAATTAATTAACCAACACATAAGGAAAATGGTCATGCAAGCGCATGTGTGGTCTTGTGTGTGTGGCAGTGTAGCCTTAAATAAGAAACAATTACCCACAGTAGAAACCATAGTTCTCATATTATCTATAATGTTAATGTATTATGTTATAAATTGATTAAAAGTAACCATAAAGAATTTTACATTGCTGTAAAAACTTTGTTTTCAATGTTAAAATGTAAAATGTTTCTTCAGCACAAAATCAGCATATTAGAACGATTTCTAAAGAATCATGTAACACTGAAGACTAGAACACTGATACTGAAAATTTGTGCCCTTGAACATTTTAACATAAAACTGATGTTTCAATTTGTAATAATGTTTCACAATATTACTTTATATAGTTAGAACCAGCATGATATTTTGAATTTAAATAGGGAGGAAATACTGACAGAGTTTCAAAGTTTACGTAGAATTTAAAACTGTAAAATTACATAAAATTACTTAGGATGTAATAATCAACACTTGCTTTGAGAGATTAAATAGTAAATCAGCCAAGACACCTGTCACCCTAGTTTCCCTGTGGGGTATGTTGAGAGAGTAAGTCATCTCATGCCTTCAACAACATACACGTAGGCTAATGTAGTTGTATGGTCAAAACATCCAGTTCTAGAATAAAAAGAAAACGTAGATGAAATGTTCTCATAGTCATGTTAGGAAATGTTTAGATGACTGGATAGCACTTCATAAAAAGGGTGCAAACAACTGGTTAGAGTGTCACGGGCGCTAGAGGCATTTGACCCTCGGCTCATGATTGATATTTGCCTAGCAAATTACCCTCACTGAGAAGGTTTTCAAAGTGAGGGACCAGTGAAGTGACCTCTTAAAGATGATCTTTTACACATAAAATCCCACTCACACACAGATATACACACACACACACACACACACTGGCATTCGAGAGATGCTAAAGAGTGAGAGAATGGGGAGGGCTAAAAAAGAGAGAAAGAGACCTTCCACCTCTAGCCTGCTTGCATTCGTATGGAAATAAGTCTTCTCGAGAAGTTTACGTTAAACTCTGAATGAGGATTAACATGGCTCCCGCTTCACTAAACAAAGCAATTACTGAGCACATCTCCGTCAGCCTGACCGGCTGTATAAATACTGCCTATCCTGCTACAAACAAATTGTGAAGTCACAAACAAATTGTGTTTCTTGGTACAGACTGAGTAAATGAATTGAGTACTAAATGTACTAAACAGATTTTATCACATCCTTCACGACTACACAACGCATACTCATCCTTTAACGTCATATAGAATGCTATTATGACAAAACGGCGCTATACTACGCACATGGCACCCGTTATCGTTAATATAAAACGTGCTGTGAGGGCTAAGTTTAGGTGTGGGGTAGGGTGTGCGTGTCATATTCACGCTAAAGGATTTATAACGTCTTGGGTTCGCGTGTTATATTAACGATAAAGGGTGCCATGTGCGTAGTATAGCGCCGTTTTTGCATATAGCGTTCTATATGACGTTAAAGGATGAGAACGGGCTGGACTACATGAGATGTGTATGGAATTTTCAGATATAATTTGCTTTGAATATCATATCAAGGCAACAAGTGAGACCACTGACTCCCACCTTTGTTTACTTCTTGTTATGAACGATAATGGGTGCAAGGAGATGTTTGACAAAGACCGATAGCCTATCTCCCAACTTCGAAAAACGTTAAAATGTAGTATCTCAGTTTTGCCTAAACGTTTATATACTAACATTCACATAGATCACACTGTGTGTGAAGGAATGACGCCTCAGGCTTTCACAAAAGATAATCTGTAATCTGTCTAACAGACAGATTTGTCCAAACTGGCTTTTTAAGCTTCACTGGTCATATACAGTGGGCCATTTCTCTCAGTTAACGTATATTGAGATTTAATCTGTTTTCTTACGGATATAATCAAGCAGGCCTTACTAGTTCTGATGCGTTTATAAGACAGTTCCCATAGTTATTCCTCATCTCAAACTGGATCTTTTACATCTTGTACCGTCATGCTTATTTTTTTTGTATATTTTTTATTTCAAAAGTAATTATTAAGAGCTCAGTATAATAATTTTGTTCTCAGACAGCATAAGAAGTATTTAGAGGACTGTGGGTGAAATGTCTATTTGCATTAAGGATGACAGTCTCTGACAATTTCTGGGAATGTTCTCTTCTTTTAAACATGACTCAGAGGAAACAAGTTTGACAGGGCATCAGAGTGATAAGACTTTTGGGCAAAAAAATTGTGGTGAGTGTGTTAATGAAATATTTATATTCTCAGTCATTCTCAAGGAGTCACATGATGACTTTCACAAGGTCAAATAGAGATAACAAATTTTAGTGAAGTCAAAAGAGTCTTATGGGCATTTGGAGTTTGACCTTTACAAAATTAGCATAGTTCTCTAATGTCTTTCCCAACAAATGACAGTCAAAGTCAACAACTGTCTGCAAAGTTAGTAACAAAGTTAAAATAAGTCTAAGAAGATAACAGAAATCCCTGATAGAGTGATTTTCCCCTTCACTT